TTTTGTGTAGACATAAGTTTTCAACTCCTTTAAGTAAATACTGAAGAATGTGACTGAGGAATTGTATGCTAAGGGTATATTTAGTTTTGCAAGAAACTGCCAAACTATTTTCCAAAGTGGCTGTACCCTTTTGCATTCCCACCAGCATCCTCTGCAATACTTGGTATCATCAGCGTCCAGTCTAATTTGTATACAGTGGTAGCTCACTGTTGTTTTAATTTGCTTTTCCTTGATAACCTATGGCATGGAGCATCTTTGCATACGCTTCTTTTTTTTTCTTTTTCTTTTTTTGCTATCCATGTATCTCTTTTAGTCAGGAATCTGTTAAGGTCTTTGGCTCATTTTGAATCAGGTTTTCTTATTTTTGAATTTGCTTGTTTTCTTATTGTTGTGTTTTAAAAGTTCTTTGTCTATTTTGAATAACAGCCCTTTATGAGATACATCTTTTATGAAAATTTTCTCCCTTTCTGTGGCTTGTCTTTTTATTCTCTTGAAAGTATGATTTGCAGAGCAATAATTTTTAATTGTAATATAAGTTCAGCTAATCAATTGTTTCTTTCATGGATCATGTCGTTACTGTTGTACATGAAAATGTATTGCCATACCCAAGGTCATCTAGGTTTTCTGCTATGTTATCTTCTAGGAGTTTTACAATCATGCATTTTACATTTAGGTGTATTACCCATTGTGAGTTAATTTTTGTGAAGGGTGTAAATTCTGTGCCAAGGTTTTTTTTTTTTTTTTTTTTAATGTGGATATTCTGTTGCTCTAGCACCATTTGCTGAATAGACTATTTTGTTCCACAGTATGGTCCTAGTTCCTCTGTCAAAGATTAGTTGATTGTATTTATGGGGGCCTATGTTCGTGCCCCTTATTCTGTCCCAGTGTTCTATTTGTCTGTTCTTTCACCAACACCACACTTTCTTGATAACTGTAGCTTTGTAGCAAGTCTTGATGTTGGGTAGCATCAGTCCTTCCAGTTTGTTTTGCTCTTCCAATATTGTGTTTGCTGTTCTGGGTGTTTTGCCTCTCTATAGAAACTTTAGAATCAGTTTGTTGATATCCATAACATAAATTTCTGGGATTTTAATTAGGGTTGCATTGACTCTACATATCAAGGTAGGAAGAGTTGATATTTTGACAATATTGAGTCTTCCTATTCATGAACATGGCTATCATTCTATTTATTTAGTTCTTTGATTTCATTCACTGACATTATTATTTTATCCATAATTTTGGGGTATTAGCATAGCTTGCCATGTTACCAAAACTTTCCTAATTTTTCTATATTTCCTGCTTTGTGACTTTTAACAGAGGAAATAAGCTATAGTCCCTTGTTTTGATAATCAGAAATGAAGGCAAATTATACCTGTCTTACCCAGAAGGAAAGTCCACACTCTCAAAGTTCATTGCAGAAAGGTGAAAAGATGTACAAGTTGGCAAAGACCCTGAAACAAAAATGGGGAGGAGAACAGGGCTAATGGGGTTAGTAAGAAGATGCTGACATTTGCTCAAGACTAAGCCATTCAGACCATACAGGCAAAAGCAATGCGTCTCTGAATGTCATATAGCGATGTCCTGACTCCTCATGTTGCTTAGCAATCTATACAACAGATAGGACAAAGGAAGGAAGTTAAGCACATCTTATTCATCTTAGATTTCTAACATATTTAAACTTTCAAATCCACACAAAGGCAGAAGATTTCATGGTGAATTTATCTTATATATTTTCACAGTTAAGTTTATTTTTTAAACATCAAAATAGTGTTGAGCAGAATTAGAAAGCTCTTGGATATTTAAACACTTATAGTTTTGTGTATAGATCTATGCCATTCTTTTGATGGTTGACATTATTAATGCTGTTTTTGCAATATGTAAATCTATTCTATATATGTCTTATCCCTCTCATTTTGATTGTTTTTTTAAATTAAAATTTACATTCAATATTACTTTGTATTAGTTTCAGCTATATGAGTTATGCCTCTCTTTGATGCTTTGTTTACAAGATTATTTATGATAATAGATATTTCACTATACAAAACAAGGGCTGGTTTTATAGCACCCACTTTTTACATTATGTTTAAGCCTGTTTTATAATGTGGTAGGCATTTAAAAATATATACTTGGTATAGATTTGAAGAAGAGTGTCAGGAAAGCGATCTTATCTATAGAATTCTATACCATGATCCTCTACTTAAAGGCTTCACTTTACACAAAGGTCAGGAGAATACTTTGATTTTTAAAATCATTTTCTTTCAGGAGGGGACAGGCAGCATAACGTAACACTAAATTGAGCAAATTCAATCCACCAGGATATCAGACCTTCGAGAAACAAACAAAACAAAATAAGCCACCAGGACAGTATTTGCATTCCTCTGCACTGTTTCCCAGGAAACCCAGAAGACAAGCAGTATTTGTTCACCCTCTCCCTTCAGATCAAGCCCCTCTGGGTGCCCACATTTTTTTTTAAAGATTTTATTTATTTATCTTTAGAGGGGAAGGGAAGGAGAGAGGGAGAGAAATATCAATGTATGGTTGCCTCTCACACGTCCCCTGCTGAGAACTGGCTTGCAACCCAGGCATGTGCCCTGACTGGGAATCAAACCACGGTTGTCTGGTTCGCAGGCCCATGCTCAATCCAATGAGCTACACCAGCCAGGGCTCGGGTGCCCACTTTTATAACACCCTGGACCTTTGCCATGTGGCACTTAAGCACAGTTGCAATGATATACTTATGAGATTAATGTTTCACTGCACCTCTAGACTAAAAATCCATGAGGACAGAGATAGTGGTTTATTTTGCCTTTGGTTGTATCTTTAGCATCTAGTCCATATGAAGGAAAATATGAATATATTACATGATTATGAATTGGTTGTACTGTATCATGCAGTAATACTTATAATTGAGACACTTTCTGATAATCATTAGAACTGACACAAATATAAGAAGTACAGCAAGTTTGAGAATAAAAAATTGTTGACTAGCACATAAACTTTATAGGTGATTTAAGATCCCTTTTGGAAACCAGTTTGTCAAGAGCAATGATTGCCAACTGTTTATTTTTTCTTATATGTTGATTTGATTCTTTCTGTGTTGCGTCTTTGTTTTCTTTTCTCTGCATTCAAAGTCTGTTTTTTGATTTTCTCTAAAGATAATTATGCAATGACTTCATGCAAACACCACTTTTAAATTATTAAGGTTTTTGGTGAACAAATGCAGACACAGAAAAAATGAGGGGGAGAATCTATGTTATATTCTTTTTTGATTTTGGGTATGAAACTTTTTTTTTATTATCTGAAACACTGTAAGTGCTATTTATAATTATGTATTTAACAATTCTACTTATACAAAATAAATGATTTTCTTCAAGAGAGATGTTAACAATTCTCCCTACCAACAAAGTTAGGATATTTAATCAGCAGAAGTCAGTAAGGAAGCATGGCTTAATTCAGTATCTACCCCTGAAAATATTTAGAGTTAAACCTTGCATTTACTGTGGCATTGTGGTATCTTTGTCATGATCAATAAGAATATGTACAACTGTGCTTTACAATGTTTTCAAATGAATCTCAAAATCTGCTTGTATTTAAAGAGAAATATGGGAGCTTTAATGAAAGAAATGAACACCGTCAGGTTGTAATAAGCTGGAAAGATCAAAACAGCATCCCCTGCAACTGATAAAAAACATACCATGGGAGGTTTTTGGCCCCAGGATTTAACCCAGATAATTATATAGCATGAAGAAGAAGAAATAAAAAAAAACTAGAAACAACAAAAAGATATTTGAAAACTGATACCTCAGTCTGAAATACAGGCTTGATACTTCCCTGAGACAATCAACTTCATTCTCCTCCCATTCTCAGAAATATGTCGCACTATGAAGTTTAATTTGCTCAAAATTAAATGTAAAAAACTCTGTTACATGGGGGAGCACAGTCTGTATTTCTTGAATAAAATAATCTTTTCAGGAATGAAGTTACTCCTGGTTGCAGTTTTCCCCATATTTCTATCAACCCTGGCAAATCACTTTAGTGGGCCTAGGACTGAGCACTTATATTCCGGAGGCCTTTGTAGCAGGCAGCCTTTCAATGGGTCGGCCTAGGTCATCAACAGGAGGAGGAAGAGCGGGCTGCCCTTCCAGGGTGCTTCGTCTCCTGCTTTATGACCCTGAGAATTTGCCTGGCCTTCTTTGAAGAGATGGAAAGTTTACATAAACCCTAGGTTTACCTTAACTTCATCATTAAAGTCAGACAGGACTGGGGGTGGTCACTGGAGCCTGGATAAACTGGTTACAGAAATGAAGGGTTAGTATTGGGTTCTTGTGGTGTTGGAATGGCTAAGGCACTCTCGAATATTTGGGTGCCAAATAGTCTTGGTCTCAGAAATACAGGTTGCTCCTGGGCTTCCTGAGGGGAAATAGCTCCCCAGGAGAGTTTGGGGTATAACAACTCTGAGTTAAATGGATATATCTTAGGTCAAGGAATTTTTTAAGGCAATTATATGACTTCTTTTTATAAAAAAAAGAAAGACTAGAGAATTACACATCTCAGGACTGGATGATGCTAATTTCATATATTTTGCAAGTGCTTTGAAAAATGTCCAAGATACAGGATATTCAGTTGCAAAACTTTTGTTATTGTTATTTATGGCTCAGATTTTGATGAATGAATTTTTAAAATGGGCTATAAAAATATACCTCTATTATAATGTTTTATAAAAGAAGAAATATAATACCTGATTAGACCTTTGGTTTTGTAAATAATCAGAAAAGAAGTAAAAATAATACTCCTCTGAAAAATAATAGATTTCATGCAAAATAAAATTTCCTGGGGAAATAATAGTAGCACAGAACCTCCATATTGCATCCATAGGAGCCCTTTGTTCTGTGCAACCAGCTGCACTTTCATTGATTTGCAGATCTTGGAGTAGAGAGGTGTTTATTATGCAACTAATTAAGAATTACAGGGTTTTTAAAAATTCAATGGACTTTGCTATGAAGTAAGCTTCCTTAAAGTTGTCATTTCTAAGTTAGAGCCTTGTAAAGAGCCCGAACAGCAGAGGAAGCCCTTTATTGGATGTCTGAGCTTCAAAGCAATTGATGAGAGTCTGAGGAGTCATTCTGAGCAAAGGGGATGCTCAGGGACCGTATGGGTAATGAAAGATCCAAACAGCAAGGTCCCCAGAGGCCCTGGGTTTGTCACATATGCCCCTGTGGAGGAGGAGGCTGCAGCCATGAATGCAAGGCCAAAAGAAGTGGATGGAAGAGTTGTGGAACAACAGAAGGCTGTCTCAAAAGAAGATTCTCAAGGACCTTGTTCCCACTTAACTGTGAAAAAGAGACTTGTCAGTGGTATTAAAGAAGACACTGACAAACATCACCTAAGAGATTATTTTGAACAATATGAGAACATTGAAGTGATTGGAATCATGACTGACCAAGGCAGTGGCAAAAAGAGATTTTCTCTTGTAACCTTTGATGATCATGCCTCTGTAGACGAGATTGTCTTTCAGAAATACCATACTGTAAATGGCCACAACTATGAGGTGAGGAAAGCCCTATTTAAGCAAGAGATGGCTAGTGCTTCATACAGCCAAAAAGGCTGAAGTGGTTCTGAAAACTTCGGAGGAGGTTGTAGAGGTGGTTTTAGTGGGAGAGACAACTTTGGTCACGGAGGAAAGTTCAGTGGTCGAGGTGGCTTTGGTGGCAGCTGTGGTGGTGGTAGATACGGTGGCAGTGAGTATAATGGACTTTGTAATGATGGTAGTTATGGAGGAAGCAGCCCTGGTTACTCTGAAGGAAGCAGAGGCTATGGAAGTGGTAGACAGGGTTATGGAAACCGGGGCAGTGGTGGCACCTATGACAGCCATAACAGAGGAGGAGGTGGCTTTGGCAATGGTAGTAGAAGCGACTTGGGAGGTGAAGTAGAAGCTACAATGATTTTGGCAATTATAATCAATCTTCAAATTTGGGATCCATGAAAGGAAAAAACTTTGGAGGCAGAAGCGCTGGCCCCTGTGGTGGTGGAGGACAGCACCCTGCTACACCAGAAAACCAAGCTGGCTGTGGCAGTTCCGGCAGCAGCAGTAGCTATGGCGGTGGCAGGAGGTTTGAACAAAGCAGAGCAGGAGGGGAGAGCCAGAGCAGTGACAGGAAAGCTGCAGGTCCGACAGAGTTGTACACTCAGCCAAGCACAGTGGCAGAGCATAGCTGCTATGAAGAAGACATGTTTTAGATGGCATTCCAACAAAGGGTTTTAATGTAGTTTTGTTTTGCACCCATGCTGTTGATTGCTAAATGTAATAGTCTAAACATGACGCTGAATAAACGTGTCTTTTTCAAATGTGTTGTGTAAAGTCAGTCTGCCCTGAAGGCATCTTGGTAAATTACCCCAACAGTGTGAAGTTAGAATTCCTTCAGGGTGATGCCAAGTTCTATCTGAAATTTATTTACAACCTGCTTGGGCACAGAAGCCAATCACCTCAGATGCCTTGGTGCAGGAGAATGGACAGCTACCATGTTGTGACCTGCAGTTCACCATTAACAGGATCACTCAAGCAGAGTCATGGAGTTTATTTGGTTGTTAATGATTATTGGCACATCCTGTGCAATATATCTAAATTTAATTATGGTACCAGATAAAATTTTAGATGAGAATGAAGCTTGTGTATCATGTGTAATCATATGAATTAATATCCTCTTGAAAAAATTCAATTGAGGTGTCTTAGATTTCATTATTTAAGGCCAACATTTATTAAATGCTCACCATGTGTCAGCAATTTGTTAGCTTTTAAGGACTCAAAGAGGAATATGATATTGTCTTTGCTTGGGAGAAGTAATCCATTGACTAATAAGTTCATAAATAGAACTGTGGTACCTGATAAATACTGATACAATATAAGACAACACCTTCAGTTTTTCTATAACAAACATTTAATCTTAAATTGTAAAAGAGAAATCAATAGTTCTTTACAAAAACAATATTTTCCCTCCATAGACAAAACCATTTTCATTCTGGAATTATGGCATCTTCTGGAATTATGGCAGGTCTAGAAGAAGGAATCTTGGGTAAAGAAAGAAAGGGCCCTAGAGAAACTGTTATGGGAGGAACAGCAGGAGGAAGTAGGCATGTGCAACTTTGAAGTGTCCTGAACTATTTTGGGAGCTATGATGGGAAGATTAGCCTTACTCTGTTACTCAGAGGTCAGAACTGTGAAGTTAGGAGTAAACAGCTCTGTATAATGATGGTTTTTCCAAGTAACTGTTAGTTTCCAGCGTTGATTCTGGCCCTCTCCTGTCTCAGGAGTTATGCAGAAGCTAAGTACCCATTTTTCAGGGTAGAGATACAGTTTCCAAATGAGGAAAAAAATTACATTTGATGAACTCTCAGATCCCTTCCTTCTCTAACACTTAGATTTCTGGATGAGGATGAATATTATTGTGTCTGAAGTGCTACCAAGGAGCTGTATGGGTGTGGGAGCAGCTAACCTAGTTATCAAACATATATGGCAGTAAGCATCGTTGATCTGGGTTTCACAGACACTCTTGTCCTGGATATCTTACAAAATTAGACAAATCCAAGTGATGAAATAATGATATTGTTCATTAAAAGAAGACATTAAAACACTTTTATCTCATACCACAAAGGTTAAAAGTCAGACCTGGTTCTAAGTTGAGAGTAAAGAGAGAGTTTCTTAGAACATGGGATGATGAGGTTGTAATACATTTGCTTCTAAATGAAAATCAAACCACCATAGTAGTGAGTTCATAAACATCTCAGGGTGTCCCAGGGAGGTTTGACAAAATGAGTTACTACAAAAAGGAGTTATTACAGCATAATTAATGTTGACAAGGAAATTCAATATAAAATTATTAATCAAACAGAGGTTTTAAAATATTTTAAAGGAGTCACAAAATGTTTTTTAGGCTCAAAAAGGAATTTTTGGCTCTGGATAAGTCAGAATACATATATGTTTGTGAAAATTAAACTATCATGATTGTGGTTTTAAGAAGCCCCTAAGAAAGGTGAGCTTAGCAATACTGTACTCTTAGTAAACGTAAGTAATAAAGCTGAAAAATGAGAACAGTCCTACACAAGCTATTTTCCCTGCAGACACAGTATAATCAGATCCCCACTCATGTGTGTCATTGCCCACGCCAGGCCACTGCACATCCAGCAGTGGGTTCTCAGAAAAGGAAAGCTAGTATTCAAATGAAAACATTTGCTCTCTCTACACTTATGGCTTTCATTTAGTTTCTGGGGAAAGCATACATTTTTTTCTAGCTCTTGTGATAGGCTTATCTACCAATCTGTGCTCAGTCCCCTTTCATTCTTTTACTCATTTGGTTTACAAGTATTTTGGTGACACAAAGGCATATATTTTATGCCAAGTACTTTTTCTTCCCCTACAACCAAACAGTAAAACAAAATGAACAGTGCTTGGTAACTGAGTCTATCTGAAAACCAAGCATCCCTGTTACTTCTGTGGCTCATGTGAAGCAAACGCCCAATTTGAAGGATGGGCATTTGTCCTCGGTATCTTAGAGATCACTCTGGAATTTTGGGGCTGGAAGGAACCACAGAGAACACACAGACCAGTGGTTCCCCAAACTGGCTTTGTTTCAGGGTCACCAGAAAAGCTTTTTAAAAATTAACATTATAGCTCATTCCAGATGTAGCAAAGTAGAGTCCTTAGACTTGAAACTGGCAATTTACCCTGGCAATCTGGAGACCAGTGATCCTGTCTCATAACTGAACTTTAAGGAGGTCTAGAAAGATTAGGGATTGCGTATCATGAGTAAATTTAGATTCAACTGAAATAAATGACTTTTTCTAGGATTGGTTAGTGACAGAACCAAGACCAGAACCTGTATGTCCTTGATCACAGTTTTATTTTCACACTACTAACCACTGCTATGGCCAGCATGACTAGAAAGCACATAATTTTACCCATTTGTGAATAAAAAGTGCCCAGAAACACACACACACACACACACTCTAGACATTTTGGGCTTTCTAACTGTCTTTGACATACCTTTGTTCAATTCTATCCCTCAACATTTTAATCATCACTGTGATGGTTTTCCTGAACTCCATCTTCTCTTTGGCTGTTAAATCCAGTTTCCTTTTAAGGATTCCAAAGGCCATTCACTCATTTATTTTCACTCAATTTTTGCCAAGGCAGTTAATGACATCAGGGCTGCTTATTATGTTGTTTTAGCACCTTCTGTTCTGTTCCTGTCTTCTAGTTTGGTAATGTTTAGGTCTCTTCTATTTATTTTCCAAATGGTTTATGTTTTTTCTTATTATTTCTATATCTTCACATATTTGCTTGACCTTTGAGATATTTCTTTCATTCGATTTTACATTTAATTAGCCTGAGTCTCCAGAGACTTTTTTTCCTTGTATTCATCTACTGAATGTTTTAGTCCTTAAATACCTATGTATCTATCTATAATACATATTCTTTATTACATATATTATATTTCTATATATTCTTTTTTAAAATCCTCATCCAAGGACATTTTTCTTTCATTGCTGTTAGAGAGAAGGTCAGGGAGAGAGAGAAACATTGATGTAAGAGAGAAACATCAATTGGTTGCCTCCCATACATGCCTGGACTGGGGGTCATACACACCTGGACCAGGGATTGAACCCACAACCTAGGTATGTGCCCTGACTGGGAATTAAACCCACAACCATTCAATGATGAGATGATGCTGCAACCAACTGAGCCACACTGGCCAGGACTGTATAATCTTTATACTATGAAGGACTGGTTTATGTAATTGTGGAAGCTGAGAAGGCCAAGATCTATAGTTGGCAAGCTGGAAACTCGCAAGAGTTGATAGTATATTTCCATTCTGAATCTGAAGGCCTGATCACTAGGAGAGCCAATATGTAAGTTCTAGTCCGAATCTGAAATCAGGAGAAGGCTAATGCTCTAGCTTAAAGGCGGTCAGGCAGACAGAATTCGTTCTTACTGAGCCTCTTGTTCTGATCAGGCCTTCAAAGCACTGCACGAGGCCCACCCACTCTGGGGAGTGCGATCTTCTCTACTCAGTCTTTGATTCAAATGCTAATCACTAATGGAATCACAAACATACCCAGAACAATGTTTAACCACCCCATGGCCCAGTCAAATTGACAGGTAAAATTAGCCAGCAGGAATCCACTCCTTGTCAACGTGGCACGCATATGCATCTCTTACACACAATCTCTACCTATCCATACCTTTAATCTATCTATATTCAATCTCTCTATATAAGTAAAGACATATCATGGTCATAATTCTGCCTAACATGATACGACAAAACTCTGTTCAACTGGACACACACTAACCCCTCCCACAGAAGACTGCTCCCTACCCCTGCCTACACTACACTAAGGATGAAATAACGCCCGTAGCTGTTTTTAAACACAGAATTTTATTCTTTTCCTTAAATTAAATTGATTGAGGTGACACTGGTTCACAAAACCAAACGGGTTTCAAGTGAAACCTCAGTAAAACATCATCTGCACGCTCTGTTCTGTGCCCACTGCACCAAGCAGTCTCTGTCTGTCCCCGTCACCCCCTCCTTCACCCACCTCCCTCCTTGACCCACTTTCCCTCTGGCTATCACCACACTGTTGTCTGTGTCTACATGTTATGAATGTATGCTTTTTGGCTAATTCTTTCACTTTCCAATTCTTTTATTGTAGTGTAGTGCCAGTAATGCACATGTTGTTAGTAGTCACTATACATACAATGACTAGTGATTACCAGTGATCACATAGTTTCCTGGATCAATATGCATTCATTTCAAATATAGGCTAGCACCCTCTGGCTGCTCTTTCACAAATGCCTCTAATGTATCCCAATTCATTACCAACTTTACAATCACCTGGTCCAAATATGGTTTCTTCCCCTGTTGTGGAGCCCCCACAAACTGACAGTGACAGCAGCTAAGAGAGTGTGATAGACAGTAGGATGACCTCTACCAGGCAGTGGGGAGGTCAGTATGAACAGCATCACTAGCAGTTCCAGAAGCATCAGTGGGACTGCAAGCTTCCCGACCCACATAGTCAACCAGAGTGTGATAAGTATTGGGTCCCTGCTCGAGGACTGTCTGATTCAGAGGGAGGAGTTGTGGGTACCACCTCCAACTCATTTTGCTCCGTTAGTTCCACCAACACATTTGCAACCAGTTCCCTGTACAATTGTGTTTTAACATTTATGTTACAAGTCACTCCAT